ACATAGAGAAAGCTTAGAAGCCTATAGGTTTAAATAATGCATTTGAGTTTTTCAAAACACAGTAAAAGTTCCTTTTGAGTTGTTATTCAGTCCCACCACTCTTCCCGACATTTTTTTTTTATAATATCAAGTCCAATATTATTTGTTTTTCTCAATCAATTATATACAAAACAACTAAAATGTTTAAATTTGTTCGGTTAAATTCGTATTTCAAGGGAAGAAATGATATAAACTCTCTCAAACATAACATAATTCATATTGTATCTAACATTCTAACCTATGATCATACAATATAAATTTCACTTCAAGTTGCATCTATCATACAAATCAATAATCTTTTGTAAATATCTTTCATAAGATGGTTTTCCTCAACATGCTAATTTGTTTTTTATCATTCATAAAAAGAGAGTGAAGACTCGTTATTATCAAAGCTAAGCTTATACTGTATTTCTTTTCAAAAGGAGGAAAAAGGTTACAAGCAAAAATAATAAAAATCAATGCATAATAATGAGATCATAAAGGATTATCTGTAAATGCATTTTGGCATGCGATTTGATAATAACGAGTCTCAGCCTCTAGGTTGTTGAAGTATTAATAGTGTTTAGGCATGCGATTTGGTTGAGCAATCACCGTTACCAAGTCGACCAATACGTTTTCAATCCCAAGTGAAAACAACGAATCAAGAACCTTCAGAAAATGGTTTTTGGCTTCACACCGCATGGAATGGTTGCATTCTCTCCATCGTGAAAGCTTTTGACCAGAATCATCTTATCCCCTCTCAAATTGTGCCGATCTAATCTCTCTCCTGGGGTGCGGTCGGTCCGGTGAGTTCGGTGACGATGAAACCTTAACGGTGAATCATTCCAGCAAATGCCGAATCCGGAGGAGAACGTAGAGTAATTCCCACCACAAATTTATAATCTCGGAGTTTATCTTTGAGAGAGACCATACCTTGGAAAAAGTCGTATGCTGTACGATTTTACCTCAGCCTCAACTCGTCGGCTAAGGAGAAGATGAGGTCCTCATACTCATTCGGCTCGTTTGGAGCGTTTTCGTGAAGGATGTGCACCTCATGAACCCTGAGCGAAACTTTTCGCCACCTGCTGAACTCTAAGTCGGTTTCCTCCTTAACAAACCTCTTCCAGTCTGATTTTGATTTCGGTTTCTCCAAAACATCAAATATAACATTGATCGACTCTTGAGGACCATCTTGGAAACCAATCCGAACAACAATTCCTTTTTCTAATATGGTCAATTTATAATTTACATATAAATGACCGTTCGCCATAGCCTGAGAAGGTCTGAGAAAGAATGGAGAAAGTTGCACAATTTCAGCACCACAAAACCCTAAACCCAATCCAATCGGAGTATATTGATGGTAATCGGATAAATGCTGCAATACACGTGAGCCTCCGCATAACATGGTCCAATCTCTGGAGATTACAGATCGGAGAAGCTCGCTCTCTCGCCGGAGCTAACAGATCAAAATCTCTGATAACCCTTTGTTATAACCTGAAATTACAATTACCCTTCTCATAAAAGACTTTCTTGTTGTTTTCTTTTTAATTCGGAACTGTAGTAAATGACTAAATAACCTGACCAAAATTGATTTATTTACTGATTCAACCAATAATTATCCACCCAAACAACATCTCCACCCGATTCACTTAAAAATCAGTTCTGAACTTAAAACAAAAATCAAAATCAATCTCTTTTTTTTTCTACGTTCTGGAATTGAAACCCAATTCGAGTAGCACTAATGGCTTGTAAAATCTTATGCATATAATTTAATTTAATTTAATCACATAGAAAGGATTTTATAAGATTTTGATCCGGAGCTAACTAAGCACCAGTGTCGCTTTTAAAACACAGTGGTAAAGTCGTAACATTCTAGCTTAGCCAGAATGTTTGGAATATTCCACTCTGCTAAACTAAATCCAACCGAACATTTCAAATCGAAAGTGAACCAAATATAGAGAGATAGTGAGAGAAAAATGTATAAAATTAGTCAGTTTTAATTATATTTTTTGTGTTATTCTTGCCAATTTCTTTACTATTAATTAAACTGATTTTTTTTCTTTAAAACTAATTTTAATTTGAACCAATCCAAAGT